TTTTTGGCCTTCAGGAAAATCGATGTAACTTCGCCGCTAGAAGGCATATAGAGTTCGGGGTAGTTTTAAATTAAAGCCAATGTCAGTACGCAGTTTTTGTCCAAACAAAATTTTGAAACTCCTGTCCATTCATTTTTTATGAGCATTTTAGTCGAATGGCCTTAAAATCAGCACAAAAAACTGTGATCCAACGGCAGCAAATTCCACTTTTCTCAGGTCAGGAATCCCATATAAAAAACTGATCGGACAAAAGTTTACTCTAATTGAGACCTTTGAAACAAAAAAAAATATTGGTTATAGCTCGAACCAGGAGGAAGGAGTTTCAATTTTATTGATTGGGAACCATGTTTTGAGAAAAATGCTAAAAATGTTTTAGAAATGGATTTTTTCATTGAAATTCAGAAAAAAATCATATTACAATTGCGTATTTTTAATACATTTCAGTGGGTTATTTTAAAGTACGTAACAGAAGAAGATAGCTAACGCCATCTGTCATGCTGGTTAATATAAAAATGTTCTATTCAATGCTAATGCAAGTGATAACGCAGTTTTTCCAAAACAGAAAAACTTTAGGCCCCCCCCCCCCTCCTCAAAAAAGTCACTTTTCGTCAGAATGACCGAAATTGAGATAAATGCATGGTAAAATAGCCCATGGTCTGATCTTTCATAAACGACAAAAACTTTTACTCGGCACCCCCTTTTTTTCAAAAATTTTTCAAGATTTTCGTCATTCCCTATTCGAAAAATAAGCTGTTTTTACAAAAAACCGAAAATCTGTTTCGTTTTTTGTCAGTTTATGATTTATCGAACGGGCAAACAAAAATTCTCTGTCAGCATCCATTCTAGTGACGTGCCCAGAAGGGAGATTGGGGGAATCGATCTCCCCTGGAGAAATACGAACACCTGGAAGAGGATACTGGTCGAATTATTTTCGTGTGTCTAAAACCAGTTTCTCTTCACAGTGGTTCCCTCCCCCTTCCCTCCTCCGGAAAAAATTCTTGGGTACACCACTGATCCATTCTACATATTTAAATTTTTTTGTTTGGAAGAGAGTGTGAAGACGCTGGGCACCAAAGAGTCCTTTTTTTTAATTAAGCTTGGTTTTTACTATATATATATATAAATATTTATATAAATTGGCGCCCATTTTTAGAGAGTTTTATTAAGTCATTGACCTTGTGATCCCTTTTTTCCGCTTAAAATGTAAGAATTAAAAAAAAAAGGGCTCTTTGGTGCTCTGCATACTGACATGCTCTTTCAAACAAAAAAGAATTAAATAAATAGAATGAGCCTGAACAGAGAAATTTTGTTTGCCAAATGTACTATTGTTGACACTTGTTTCATTAATATCTCCCTTAAAACTCATGATTTCAGGCTGAAAATTTTATCATAGCTTTCCCACTTCGGCCCCAACATATCCTCCAATTTTCAGGCCATTTGGACGTTTGTTGACTGACATCGATTTTTGAGGGTGGGGCCTTAAAAAGCCACGAAAATTTTTCCGAAAACATGATAGAAGGGTCGAAGTTTCTTGTGATAAGTCCGTGAAACTTTGGTCGTTTTGCGAAAAGCTATATATGTTCTGAAAGAGGAAGCTTCGGTGCATCTTCCTATGATAAAAACTCAACTTCGATATTTTTTCGAAAAATTGGATTTTCTAAGGGATGCTTCCTTAATAGAAAGAAGTTCTATACCTACATTCACGTGGTTAATGCTTTGGATTTCAAGGTATATAAATTAAAAAAATACAAGTTTTGTTTTTCGTTGTGAAATACTCATAAATTCTATCTATGGCTTTACAACAGTTCTATCATAACGATGAAGTAGCTAATATGAAATCTTCAAATTGCTTTCCATCTTTTCAATGTTAGCGTGTGGGTGTGTGGGTGTCGGTGTGAACTGAAAAAATGGCACCTACATCCACATCCTGGATTCGATGTGTTGAATCGTATAGAGAATGATTCTTAATTTCAAAATCTCTTTTCATTTTTACTCATTAAAAGAAAAGAAATTTCGAGGAGACTATGAAAACACAAAACCAAGAACAAAACTGACAGCAGTTGATGATTTTTTACGCTTATGCTTTGTTAAGAGAAAAACTTTTCATATTCAATGATCAACTTATGTTTTTTTTATCATTGTCGAAGACATATCATCGATGAATCAGTTTTTTGTGAGGAAATGTTTTCTTCGAAGAATATTATAGCGATATTAGGAATGTTAAGTTCAGCTAGCAAAGTTCTAATGGGTGTATCAGGACGCGATAAAATTATGGAATGTAGTGAAGATTGAATCTATGAAAATCATCAACTGAGTTCGATTGATCAATGATTTTGAGAGTAGAAACGTGAGAAAGAAAGATTTTGTTTTTGTCTTAAAAGTATGAATATGCGCGAGTGAATTTTCTATTTTTCTTGTTGACGTAGACTAAGGTTCATATAACCGATCCACGTAATTAAGATGAAGATTAGAAAGTACTAATTGAAGATCTACAAATACTCGACACTCATTACATTTAGTCTTTTCTTCGAAGAAAAAAAAGACCACGATCATCTGAAAGTCTTCATCAAACTGTTTGATATTAAGTTGGTCAGACAGGTAGTCACATCATTTCAAAGATACGAACAATATTTGTTGCTTACTACAGTTTAAATAAAATTGTGAAAAACAACCATAATTATTTGAACCGTGAGCAAAGTTTTCTTCGGATTAGTCAGACGAAAGGTTTGATTTAAAATCGCATAGAAACTGTTCTTCCCTAAATTCTTTTCTATTATGAACAAATGAATCAATGTTAATTCGTCTTCAATCAGTCTATCCTCTTAGGTTTTCTCGAATTTATTTTGGTAATTATTATATTTTATTTGAACTCTTTGTAAAACATATTTTTCTAACGGTCGGCATACTTCTTTGAGAGATAACGAAGAGTCTTTTCCATACCCATGTAATCACGAAACGCAAGATCGATGCGTTGAAACGCGGTTTCACAACAAAACGCGTCTAGACGCAGTTAAAAACGGGTTCACAACGCATTCAAATGCATTTTTAATATGAAACGCGTTGAGACGCAGTTAGAAAACTTTTGAAACGCGTCTGAACGCAGTTTTTGTATGCAACGTGTTGAAACGCAATTGTAAAAAAACTATGAAACGCGTTGAGACGCGGTTCATAGTGAAATTGCGTTTGTACGTGTTTAATAAGAGTTTGACTGAACGCGTTCAAACGCGGTGTAATATGAGAAGCGTTGAGACGCAGTTAGAAAAAATTTTGAAACGCGTCTGGACGCAGGTTTTCTATACAAGGCGTTTAAACGCAATCAGAAAAAAATGAACCGCGTTTCGACACGTTTCTGAAAAAAATTTAATGCGTTTAAAAAAATTTTGTTTACGAACTGCGTTCAAACGTGTCTTAAATATGTTTTTCGCTCGCGTTAGGACGCAATCATATTTTCGAGTGCCTTTGACAGTGTTTATTTTTTGTGTATTGGACGCAATTTTACCCAAAAATTGCTGCTCTAGAAGAGTTAACTGCATAATCAAAATCATCAGCTTACATGTATTTTATTCATCTAAACTTCATTAGACTTCTAATAAAGAATGTTGAGATGACGTTAAAATAGACAAAATTCAATTAAACATACGGTGAACAGTCCATATTTCTCTAAAGCTTGTAAGAAAAATAGTCAGATAATATTGTAATAGTTTCCAGCTATGCAACGCTCTTTCAGAATATTGTTAAATACTATTATTTAAATAATATTATTAGTAACTTTTCATCATATATTTCTACTAAATTGATTGTCAATAATTATCTATTCATTAAATTTTTCGATAAAATTATTTATCATATTACCAGTGCAATAAAAAAGATCGTAATATTTTTTATGTGTAGTAGATGATTAAAAAAAAGATGTTATTTTATTAAAAAAATAAAAAACTTATTTAAAAAAATAACTAAAAAGTCAACTTACGTGTTAAGACTCTTGAATTCGAAAAAAATACATCTTGTTAAAATAAAGTATTTAACCGATGAAATTCGTCTTCAAATATATTTTATTTTGAATAAGACAAGATTTCGAGTTAGTATAACTCAGCGGTATGTATGAACGACTTCTAATCACTGGTTCATCTGTTCAAATCTGATCGTCGTCACTTAAGGTAAAATCTAATCCATTTGCCAGGGAAGGCTAAGACCATCAAAAAATATTGATGGTGGCAACTCAGTTCGAATCTGAAATGGATTATCATATTTTTTTTCAAAATTTTTAGTTTTTTTATGAAACGCGTCCAGACGCATTAAATGTTTCATCTGGGACGCGTTTTCGCTAAAAATGCGTTTGAACGCAAGGCAAGCTAGAAGCGCATTCACACGCGTTTCTAAAATAAATCGCGTTTAAACGCTTCGTTTGTTTCACTGGGGACGCGTTCAAACGCGTTCACTCTTAGCGTTTCGCACGCAAATGAAACGCGTTTCAGACGCGTTTTGAGGCAAAAAATATTTACATGGGTAGGCACTAATCAATTTTAGTATTTGCTTCAGTTCTACATCGATACTGACGAACAGAGAAGATATTATTAAATCAAGTAGTAATTCACTTTACTTGACAGTTGATATTAACAAAAAAAATTACTGTCAATCGATTCCTTTCTTTATACTATATATTAAGAAATTACTCACTATTTTATGTCAAGTCTAAGTTTTTCTACTTACAACTTCATACGCTTAAACTTCAATTTAAATGATTGTGTTCGATGAATATCATTTAATTTCGAGTTTTTCTCTACTCCAATACGAACTCAGCATCGTATTATCCATGGCGATCAAACAGCGAACAGGAGATTCTCTCGGAAATAGTAGATTGGACAACGCGATGATAATGCTGTACGCGAATAAAGAAAAATTAAAATTTCTACAGTGTTTTCCTGACATAATAATCTAAATTAAATTTTATGTCAATTAAGTGTTAGATAGCACATCTTAAACTCTATATCAAATATGAAATGATTCGTTTACTTTTACTATTAATAAATAAAGTTATAGCTGCTCGTGCTTTTTCGACAATAGTAAAACTTCGTAATCATTGTGAACTTAATTTTAAGTTAAAATAAATCGTTCATTCCTACAACAGAAGATGAGGGACTAGAATAGATTTATCTACTTCTACATATAAATTTCTTACTCGACATTGGATGAAATCTTTGTTTTTTTTTACCCGTAAGTGAGACTTGCTATGAGAAAGCACGAGTTGTACAAATAAAAGAAGCAAGAAAATCAAACAACAATTATGCTTGATTTCTTGTCAAAGAAAAAGAAAAAAAAGAAAAACGCAAAAAAATTGCTCCTCTCGAGTACAACAGACACTAAAATGGTGGCCTTTTGTAAGTAAAATTTTTCTTCAACTAACTCATTAAAATTGAAATTGTCAAGTAAGGATTTCAGCTCAATCGAAGTATCACGTAATGAAGATAGAACTCATTGGATGGTCTGAAAATTTTGGACAATGATGATATTTTTATGTGTAAGCGTGGATGCGGCTATAATTGTTAGACTATTCATGCTCGCACTCACACCTCACACTCGTATCTTCCATTTTTCATCGTTTAAACGTGTACAAATTTCATAATAAGATAAAAATCCTTGTTCATTTGCATATAAACAAGTATTACGTTTTATTTAAAAAATATATCTTATTTAGATTTTCAATAACAGAACAAAAGAATAAAAATAAAATTTATCTAGTTGAATCTAGCCCAACAGCTAATGATCCAATTGAATTATCATATGAATTAGCTAAACGAAATGTTTGATCATAAAGTGGTAAACCAAGAAGAATTTTTGATGGCGAACAACTGCCATTTATTCAGTATTTAGCAGATCAATCTTGTGTTAATTGTTTATTTAATTCATCATCATTTTTACGACTATATAATGGAGCATGAATACCTGTTTTAGATTTCTATGAACTTTAAAAGAGAAGAAAAAGATTGTTAGCGCAGCCCTATGGGCTAAAATATGGAACTCACATATGCCCTCGAATTTCATTAAATTAATATAAAATACGTTAAGTCAATGGTATGGGTGTGGCTGTGGCTGTGGGTGGGTGTAGCTATGGGTGGGGTGTGGTGTGGGTATGAGTGGGATGTGGGTTTGTGAGTGAGTGTGGGTGTGAGTGTGGGTGTGAGTATGGGTGTATTTTTTTTTCTTCGTTCACACCCCCAACCTACACCCACAGCTATACCCACCCATACCCACACCCACAAGTCGAATGTTTCTCATTATTGGAAAATTTCCAGTTTCGTGTACTGATAATCGCATAATTATGTGATACTAAATCAAAGAGAAGAGACAACTTTGAAGTTTTGTTTCATCAGACATCAGCGGCACCCTATCAATCGGTTTATTGTTGATACAGCTAGATGCTAGAAATAATAGGAAAAGTATTTATATGTACATATTACTAACTATTGTTACGATTAGTTTAGGGAAATTTTGCGCATAATTTCGAAATGGATTTCATCCTTAGGTCGTTTTTGCAGTAAAACTACATTCTGTCACTTTTTTTGAATTGTTTTCCTCTTACCCAAGGTGTTCTACAATGAGTATTTCGACGCGTTGATTTAAGCTGTCGAGGGACAAACATAGTTCTAGATAGGTTGTTCGAAGTGCCATTTTTCGATGGATCAAGGGCTTGGAGTTGGGTTGCTCACATCCGTCTCTCAAGCTGCTATTCGATGAATCTTTTGAGCTTCCAATTTGAGCTTGTCGATAGGCCGATAGAACTCAAAAGTGTTCATCCATCAACGATCCTCGACCTATCAGAAAATAAATGGTACTCGGCTGAGTCGATCTGGAAGTTCGATGTCATCGACGCATCTCTCTTTCATGAATTTCGATGGGACAAATCAACATAGGTTCGAGCGAGCAGTATTCACAGCACTTGAAGTTATATAAAATTTTCGAAAAAAGATTTGTCTCATACACCCATTTTTTCGAACCGTCACGACCTATCAGGTATTTTTGCAGAAGAGATGATCGAACATATGTACTTACAATTAAAGATGCTCGAATAGATCGGATGAGCTAAGCATGACGTTCAAGTCTTTGATAAAGTTACGCATTGTTAGGAAATATATATAGATTCAACATTTTTTTAAATATTTTTTGAATATCTTTTTAACTAATTTTTTTCAAAAAAATGATGAAGTATCCTGTTTCTATTATCGATGATTGATATAGTTACACATAAAAATAAATTTCAAATTGGATGTGGGTGTGGACCTTCTAACCGATGTCACCTACTCACACTCACACTCACACCGACACCCATATCCACACCCACACCCACAGCCACACCCCGCAGCCACAGTCACACCCACAGCCACACTCCACCCACACCCACACCCACACCCACACCCACACCCTACACCCACACACCCCACACTCACACCC